TTGTTTGTGTTTATCGCACAAGGAAATTATTCACTCGAGAAAAGCAAATTTATTAAGCAGTAATTTTTGAAAAAATTACATTGAACAACGAAAGTTGCATGTTTCCATCAAAAGATATTTCGAATTAATCATACAGAGATAATGTCACGTTCTATGAGTATGAATAAAAAGAGAGTGATTTAAATAACAAACGAAAGACACCTTCTACGCTGTTAGAGAAAGGATCACTTTATCAATTTTTTACATTTTTCAAATTTATCAGTCAATGAACTATGAATTAGAAATGAGTAGATTTTATTGACGAAAAAAGGAAAAAAAAAAACGATATTCACCCGTGTCGGTCAATTGAACCGTTACGTGCCTGCCAATGGGCAAAATTTGCAAGAAATTTCTCGCTCGAACGACTAACAAATGAACTAGATTCGAAAGTGGTTCATTCGCAACTATTTCGTATTCTTCGTATGCTCGAATAATGGAGGTCCCAACCCTTTTCACTACTTGATGACCGTAATGCATCCACGGCATTCTCTCCTGCTTTGTAAACATAAACTCCACCTGCATTGCGCAAAAGTGAATGAAAGGGATAATTGATAATAATCTTGATATTAACACGTATAATATTAACACGTTGACTGATCATTGACAATTGAAGTATCCATGCGATGCAAATATTTCAAAACTATAACGATCAATTTATTTTGTTAAAACAAATTGTTTGTTATCATTTTGAATTAATACCAAATAACTTTGTATCATTGATAAATTATATTATATACATATTACAATGTAGTAATTTATTCAACGTAATATTAAAATTTATTGATTCAATTTTAATAATGTTTATTATTGTATAAAAATATATTTTATATTTGATATATGTTATAATAATACAGAATGGAACGATGTATGAATAAAATCGAAATTTTAGAATAAAATCGAATTGGCACTATGGATACGCATGAAACGAGAAGTTCGTTGCACTTTCATTTTATAAAAATTAAATATTAATATAAGTAAAACGTCATAAACTTCACCTGACAGTCAACATGTTAAATAGAATCTCTTCTTCAATTCCATTGTCTACCTGCATCGTTTCAAAGTTTCTGGTGCACGTTGGTGGCCATTTTATGTCCGCTCTTAAGCGCAGCTCAATAGTTACTGTATTATTCTCGAAAATTAATTTGAAGTTTAACCTCGAATTGTTTAGCCTATGCAATTCATAACACAGGCTTCGACAGTCGCGTTTCACGTTATAGTAGAATGTGACTGTTTGGACTGTTTGTTTCCACTCCATTTTTTTTAGAAACGATTAACCACCGTCTGACGCGTTTTCTTGGCTGGAACTACGAGTTGAAACGTCAATACATTTTTAATAATCCAAAAACACAATTTTATTTTGAATTTTTTTTTAGGGGCGTAAGGGGGGATCAAATAAACATTTTATAATAATAATTGCTATCTATGTATTCTCTCAAGTTTCCAAAATCCACACTCATGAAGTAATTCATACAATTATTCGTCGCTGAATTATTAAATCACCGTTCAATTCATTAACTTTCCCGACAGGAATTTTAAAATTCGATGAAGAGAATAGCCAGATTGAAGTAAAATTGGAAAAC